TCGGCCTCTCCCATTTCCTTCGGGGCTGTGGCCAGCCGTTCTTGGGCACGATCCAACTCCTCTTCCACCAGCTGGATTCGTCTGTTCAGAGCCGCCACCTCACCTTCAGCCTGCGTGAAAGAGCCCCCCAGCACCGAGGTTACCTACAAGCCACTTGCTGGCTGGCAAATGTTCTCAACTGATCGGTTTTCCTTAAACCAGCAAAGGTTTCTCCCTGGTACATGCAGGGCAGCTCTAGGCACCTTTCTGTCTGTGCTGTTTGTTTGTTTAAACTATGGCATGTTAGGAATTTGAAGGTATGGAGCGTGTGCTTCTCCCTCCTTTCTTCTCGGTACTTATCATTCCTGCCACACAACAAAGGATCCGACACTGGTTGCCAAGGGAGAGCTGTTTTCAGATCCCTTCACGGGGGCTGGATCTACCCATAGGATTCAAAAGTTAAAACCCAAACTGTTTCCATAATGGCTTTTCCCAAAAAGTTCACAGTCGATGTTTATGTTCTTGGTTTCATCACAGACTGCAGCGATCCCGTCATGGCACACGGCTGAAGTTAAAGCCATTTCGTTACCCATTACGGACTCCTGAGCCTGCAAACGCTGTACAATCTTTACGCCCTCAGCTGGGCACAGAGTTGGCCTCAGCAGGGAGAGTCGCTCTTCTTTGTAACAGAAATAGGGCCAAATCAGTTATGTTCTTAACTAAGTTCACTTTCCTTTTTCATTGCTTCCTGTGGTACTTAAGGAATTAGGCAGAAAGCACTGCTTAATGAGAAGGTCTGTTTCTGTATTATTGAATAAACGGCACAATAATTGGAAACACTATTAATGTTTAAAAAACAACACTCAGTAATAAATGGGGAGATTGTCGGGAGAAAGGCTCGCATACAGACAACGTGAACAAAGTGGTGTCCACAAGCACATTGTGTTTATTAAGATACGACTGCTTTAATTGCTTGTTGTTTGAAGGGAAGTAAAGCCCTACTTTAATAATGGCCAGGTTTGCACACTGCATCGCCCCCAAATCTGAGTATGAGTGCTATAGATAAGATTACCTTTTTACAAACACTTTTATGGGCTATGGGCAATTGTTTTATGCTTTATGTTAAACACTTTGGAAAAAATCCTTGTTTTGCCGCAGCTTTGCAAATCTGGTCACCGACCGCCCCTCCGAAGCTGGAGGAAGTGGTTTCCCTCCATAGCTGTACCATCTTGGAAAGGATCTCTGTGACCGAGCCAGCTGGAAGCTGACCCAGGATTCCTCTACTCATCAATTAGCCGGCATTTCGTTTGTTTTCTGCCCAGTGCTGTGTGTTTAAACTTTCTCGATTTACACACCAGGCACCGATCGTGGAGAAAACTGGCATCTATTATGTGGCAGCCTGCAACTCCTTCCACTAGCCAGGGCACTTTTAAGTTATATTGTAATTAAGCAAGATTCCAAAGCTATGGAGACGGGGCCACTGGGAAGCTGGAGTTAGTCTGGCTCCACCTCTCCCAGCAGCAGCCCGCAGTCCTTATACGGTAAAACTAACTCGCTGACATGTGATAAAATAGCAGGAAGATGCCGGGAAGGCTGATCACACACCAATCTAAGTGAAACCAGCTGTCCGGCCCCGGGAGAGCCGCACACTAGCGGAGAGTTCTCGTTTCTCTGTGCAAACCAGGACGGAAAGTTATTTTCCAGCAGTTCGGACATTGCCCAGCTGTGCTGGAGCCAGCGGTGCGGCGCCGAGAGGCGGGAACTCCCCGCTCGTTGTCATGCAGCGCTTTTTCCTAATTAAACAGCCATTTCCTACTAAACTCGTAACCGCTTCCCGATGCCGATCGGTGCTCGCAACGCCGTTTCCGAAGGGAACGGCCCCAAAGCGCGCTAAGCAGCGGGCGCCGGGGACCAGCCGCCGCC